TAACTGCCGTCCTTTGTGATACACTTCTGGCCTGGGAGCTCCTTCTATGTCAACCACTCACGGCCGTCTCACGCCTTCTGCAACGGTTGTCCTCTGCATTGTCTTTGTTGCCGTTGAAAATTCCTCGCATTCGCTCTGGTTTCTGCTGCTCTTTCCGATTACCGCTAGTCGTTTTTCCTGGCACCAAACGTTTTTCGTACCGCCAGATTTTTGGGTACCACGTTGGGCTGTTCCCAGCGGCACTGAAATGCAACCCGTGACGGAGGAGGAGTGAGATCTGCCAACTCCGCTGATTTCCAAAAATCTGTTTAATATTCTGAGTAACTTATAGGGAGTATATCGGATATTAAGCTGATAAACTGTTTCCATTTGACAAGCCATCAGAGACAGTCTCCCAGAGGTACATGATAGGGAGCTTATATAGTGGCCTCGTGGCCGACAATACTAATAAATGTCAATTTCATTTAAGCAGGTGATTCTTTGTGCGGTGACAATTCCGCCACGGGAGATTACAAATTGTTTCTTGGCATATGATACTCAGAATATTAGACAGAGGTGGCGACGCGATCACTACTTTGCTTAAGCGCGGCAGGCGTGCATATGTGCTATTTTCGCGGGTAAAAGTCGGTTTTACCTACCAAGATAGAGACCGCAGGCTGGTGCAGATTACGCAAGAAATAAAATGTACAGTGATTCGGGCGTTGAAATATATACAGTTTCGGCTACGTTGAGGACCGAAGGAACGCAACATAAATTGAAAGCAGAAAGGGTTGCGCCAGAGAGCACGTACAAAGGAGTAGAAAGAAAAGAATATAGATAGATAAATATTCGTAAAGGAATGATAATAAAATGATAATAAAACGTTGTGGGAAAATTCAGGAGGAAATTCAAGAGAAGCTTTAAAAGAGCAAATATTGGAAGAGAATGCTCGTGATCTTTGCATTACCAAGCGACACATTTCGGTCGACGGCGTCGGCGGGAAGTTGTGCAATAACCCCGAAAATTGTATCTCTAAAGATGAACATATAGTAGGACTTTAAGAACTTTCTATATTTTGATTTGAATCTTATATTGGAGACGTGGAAGGCCTGTGTCGAAACTATTGAGTTGTATAGCAGCAAGATGTCATTCATGGCAGATGTTTATGTTCGTGTTGATCGTATCGGTCGGGAGTTCGTTTTCGTGAGCGGAAATATCGCGTGCGGTCTCGTCAAATGCGCCGTATCTTGCGCGGCAGGACCAAGCACGTGATGCTGACGATGATACTGACTGCCTCAACATATCCCGGGACTACGCGATCCTCTCCGATACCACGAGATTTCTTATCAGGACCTCGTATTCTGATGAAATACGAAGTAGTTTGTTGAGGTGGACGTTATGCAAGTGCCATGCGTCGAGGGTGCCGACGATTCAGCCGACAGAGATGACGTGACCTTGTCGCTTCGGGCTGATTATTAATGATTTTTTTCTCTTGCTATTTGAAGTGTTTCAAAGTTACTTTTGAATAGCACGGTCACATCTATAATGAAAATAATCCTCGATGGCTCGTGCGTCACCACAATGTCGGGAGATAATCGCCCGAAACTCGCTGGCTCACCCTGACTACCGCAGAAAGGCCGTAACAAGCCTCTTGACAATGGTGCAACTGCAAAGCAACCACGTGGTGGCCGCAGTGACAGAGCACATGGGACAAGGTCTCCGACAGATATCTGCATCGCCGGAATCTCCGGTCACTGTCCACTCCATCGACGCGCCCCATTTAAAGGATCTAGGTGCACGCGGTGCACAAAGTGCCAGTCTGCAAAGCGAATACATTTACCCTCCGGCCATAAAACTCGGCCAATGACTTTCTTGGTAGTTGGAGATTTATGGTCACTCTCCGGACACTGCGTGTAAGCTAGCAAGAAGTCGCAATCCAAACATTTTCGCGAATCTCAAGGCGGCCGATCCAAACCGGAACCAAAAAGATAAGCGACTTGAGGACGGCAGCTCCATTTCTCCCTTGAGCGAGCCTAAAAGTTGTTACCTGACAATGTCTGCTTTACTAGGCGTACGCCGTATTTTCAACCGAGGACGACTTCCTCCAGCGCTGACTTTGCAACATGTGTGAATCGCCGAATCATCTGTGTTTAGGATTCTGAACGCGTAAGCCATGGCGGAAACTTTCGCAAGTCCGCCAGCATAGAGAGCTCGCACTCTTCCCAGAAGAGTGAAGATGAATGTCACCTCTGCACTAGGACGCTGGGGGAGGTTTAGTCAACACTTCATCTTTCGCTTAAAAATCAGGTTTGCCATAACAGTGATATCTCCACATTTAAGCAAAATGTCGTCACGCGGCAGCAGGAACATTGAGATCAACGGTCAGGTTTTGAATTAGGCGATACGATAAGGTGGAGGCAGAACTCCCCATGCTTCAAAACGGGCAGGCGTTAGCCAACTAATTAAAACATCATTGGGATTGTTTCCTCCTTGGCCCCGAGATGCATGGTCGCGCACTTGTGCGGATGAAAAGAGAGTTCCAACGTACTTGCCAAACTCTCTACTGCAGATAAAAAGCTATGGGCGTCTGGAGCGACAAATGCAATGTCATCTGCGTAGGACATGGCCGTCACCCACTCGCTAGATATCCCGTATTTAACTCCCGATTCTTCTTAAACAAAGTAATCGATCACAAAATCGGACAATAACAGACTCAAGTAGTCCTGCTGCGCACCTGACCGCATTGAGATGGAATCCGTAAATCTCTCGCGTGTTCGAACGCGCCTTGTTCATGCAATATGATATCGACGATCCTTGCAGTTACGGCGGCGTCAACGAGAGTGCGTTGGATGATCTCGTGGGGGACGCATCGTTACTTTCTTCTTCTTCTTACGGGTGTTTTTCACTATCTACAGCAGAAATTCCATCTTGGCTGGACGAAGACGTTTGATCACGATCGTCCAGAGCATCGGCCAATCCGTTCAACATTGCGGCGAATAGCTTGACGTTGACATTGCTCATCGCAATGTCTTCAGTTGCCCAGTTCTTTGCGAGTACTCTTCTTGTGCACCAGCGCAGTAAGGCTTCCAATTGTGCCTCAGATGGAGTGTGCAATAAGCATTATATAAAGCAGGTAATACCACTGCTTCCGTGTCCTCTTTCGTAAGGTCTCCTAATTTAAGCCGTCGGGTTCGAGAGATGAGTTCTTCATTGGGAGATTGTATATGTTCTAGTCTAAAATATGTAAAGCGACTGAAACTATATATTTCGTGTTACATCTCACCTACAGGTAATACCTAGGAGGTAAGTTCTTCTTCCTCCTGAGTTATCGGCATCATGGGATGAATCTAATGGGATTTGAGACAGAGGGAAGAGACAATTACTTTCTACTCCCGCAAAGATCGATAATACGAAATGTTGGAAAATATCTTTAGACAATTTGCAAATGAAGAAAACCTTTTTCAACACCTTTCCAACTTCACACTCTACCGTTTGGTATTATACAATTTCTCTATACGAGATGCCTTCCTCGTCAATTCTTCATGAGAGGAAGAACTTTCTCAAACTGAAACCTCGTCCCGGGCGAAGTCTTCTATTCGTCTCGCACAACACCGGCCGACACGTCTGGACGGCGTTCGATTCCACTGTAACAGTCGCCACTGTCACGATTTTGACTGATGACTGTTAAGACACGTTCCGCAATTTCAACTACGATCGTAATATGTAGGTGTCGGAAGTTTTTGCGCTCGCTGTGCCCGAGATCGCGCTAAGTTGGTTGCTACTAGTAGTACTACAACAAAGTTGCTGCTGCAGCCGCAGTTACTATTGTTGTTGCAGTTGTTGCCGTTGCTTCTGCACAACTCACCTCGTAGCCAGTATTGCTTCCTGTGTTCGCTTCCAGATTAGAGTACTTACCGTCTGTCGACGCGTTTCGCGCACCTCGGCGATTTGTAACCTCGTCCAATGACGGTGCAGACTGATTCCAGGGCATTTCCTGAATGATGTCGTTTTCTATGACTTTGCTTCTTTGCATTTTCGTACTTTGCATTTAGCGATCCTGCTGCGATTGGTGATATTACAACTTGATAGTGGATTTTGTCAACTTCTGAACGCAGGTGGATCGATGTTCTTCTAATCAGTCGCGCGGTGGAACAGTGAACGACAGACGATGAGATCGGACTGCGACGTACCATTACCGTGACAGTGGCCATCGATAATATGACGACCACGGAAGTATTGTATAAAGCACATATTTAGAGGAACCCTCTGAGTGACTTTGGTATTTGAAACAACTCGCCTTCGCAGGGTTAAGCTTTTCGCAGTCAAGCTTGCTTATTTCCGCATTCGATGTCGCTTCTGTTCCACCTTTCAGGGCTGGCCGACGATCATTGGCTGTCCGTTTTTCTCAAACTCGGTGTGAACTGCGTGGCTGAGACGGGAATGAGTCCTGCTGTTGAAGGCTTCCTCGGACATGATGATGAGAGACAAAGGGAAGCGAGCGAGAAATGATACGAAGTTGCTATGTACGGCTGTAGGCGAAGTCGTGGTGATGGTCGCCGTCGCGATTTCTACGTTGTTATTGATGCAGGACCTGCAAGATAGTCTTCGCGTAGGAACAGGCGCAGATGACATTGCGATAATGCTAGCCACTCCTACTGGCTGTAGACTTTTAGTTAAGGGGTTTTGTAATACTACATCCCGTTGATCAGTTATTTCCCTGAGTGTTTCTCGAGTTGTCGGGAAACATCTTTTAATTGTCCTTGTGCTACTTTCCAGCGTGGTGCTTGATTCCATGCCGCTGAAGTCGGGACTCCCTCAGTAGTGGGTTAGTGGATCCTAAAGTAGTACGAGCTGATTCCCGCAGCCTAGTGTGATGCGTTGAGTTTCGGAGCCTGGATACTGACATGATTTCACGGCTCGCGTTTGCAGCATCTGCAGCGCGTTAGCGCTCTCGCAATCGACGTTGTCAGTGTAGCCGTTGACCATGTGGCCATCCGGATCGGAAGTTACGCGCTTGGAGCAGAATATCCGCGACGAAGAGAGACTTAGTTTGAACATTAATACCGTTTGGCGTCTTCCAATGGCGAACGAACCTAAACCTCCAGATTTCGTGAATCTGTGGCACCTCTTCATCTCCCTTGTACATAGGCGTTGGCATCGGAGAGTTTTCACACACCATAGGCCTATCTGGCGGACGAAATCCGATGGTGCAGTTTCACATATTTTACCAACACACGCTCGAAAACTTTTTCAAACCCGCGAGCTGTCGGAACAGCAATAGGGGATATTTAAATAACTCCAGTTGGCGGTACTTTGAAGTTAATCCATATCGCCAGTGGTATCCATCACTGTGATGTTGCAAAACCGGCAAGTTTTATTAAAATTGCCCGA